GAAATCTTTTACCCTCTAGAAGAGAATTGTTTTATTTTATTTTTATTTATTTTTATTTTAAAATGGCTGGCTGACACAGAAGAAGGTATGGACCAGGAACATGAAGTCAACATTGTTGGAGGCAAGATCATGATTGAAAGGTTGCCTTATAAAAAGAAAAAATTAATCAGCTTTGACCTCAAGAGTGAAACTGATAAGCGGCGAACAGGGAAATTTTGCAGGTGTGCCTCAGGTGCTTTAGCACACAGCTCTCAAGAAGTGCTAATTGAGCAGCTGAATGGATGACTGGTGACTTCAGGACACCATTGTCTAGAACTGTGGGTGGATATATCAGATAATTTTTCAAAATGCACTTATATTTTCTGCTCATTCCATTCACAATTTGAGTAATCCAGAGGATTCCAGTAACTAGCTGTGTGAAAACTTGCTTAAGAAATTTAACTTCTCCACCTTCACATTTGCTTTTCTTGTCTCATTTTATAGAAAAGTATGTTACCTTCACAGTGGGTAGAAAGTAGCATCCATTCCAAAATTACAACGATACATTCTGGCTCTAGAATTCAATGCCCAGATTCTAAATATAAATCAAAGGCACTTGTTATAAAAACATTTATTTCACAGTGTATGATATGATGCCTAAGAGTCCTTGACCTTAAGGGTTTACAGTCAGGTAAGAACAAGATAAATCTCCAATTTTGTTACAGCTCTAGTCTGGAACCAAGAATGAAAGTCGTTTTGCTAACATTTTAATAAGAAAAAAGAGAAAACCTCTTGGACTAGATTACTAAGTCAGGAACTGGCAAACACATGGAATGAATGAGCATGTTTCCACAGGACACATGTATGGGAAAGCAAGGGCAAGGAGTAACAGGTCAAATAAATACAAAACAAGGCCCCAGACAAGTGCCCATTAGTGCAGCCTGAGCTTTGAAAACAACTATCAGTTTCCTAGATGGAGTTAAATACATTCAGTGCATTACTATTCTGTTAGTTTCAAGTAGAATCTCCCTTTGTTTGTTGTGCAAATTATTACTGTTTTCTTCTAGGCACTGTGCTAATGGGAAAAGGCAGATAAATTAGACAGGATTCCTGCCTTCAGGGAGCCAAAACGTAGAAAGCTGTGTTGCGGGGTGAAAAGCTCAAGGGCCTTTACAGAGGTTCAGGAAGGTGTGTGAGAGCTCATGGGGAGGCTGCCCCACAGCCAGCTAGGGAAGTCTGGATGGCTTCATGGAAAAGGTGGGTGATGTGAACTGTACCTGATGACAATCAGAATTTGAGGAGCTGGTAGGTGTTATAGGTAGAGAGATTCTAGTAGGATTGAAGACAATGAAACAGAAAATAGCAGGTCATATTTGGGGCTAACCAGTGAGTAATCTAATATGCTTGGACCAAATGGATCGAAGAAAAGGCACCATTGGAAGGAGAAGCTGAGGAAATATTTGAATAAATAAATAGAATGATGAACACCATTTGATTATTTACTTAGTCTACAGACTTGGTGACTAGCAGAACCAGGGTAAGGAACATGATGAAGAGGATTTTGTAAAATTCTTCTCTGTAGAGTGGCAGTTGCAAACTCGACTATCTAGGGGAGTCTGGCAAGTAACGCAGATGAGTGAGCTGAGCCAGGTGTAGGAAAAACAGCGACTCAAGGGAGATGATCATTGCCAGCAGACCCCTTGGTCTGCATGTCAGGAGGTGATGGGGACTGGGCTTAAATGTGGCCAAGTGGACGGAACACATTACTTCTGAAAAAGGCAGCTACTATGCAGCTCCAGACACTTGTTGCTTTGTGGAAACTGAGGTCCAGTAGAGCCAAATATTCAAGAGAAATTAGAAGTTCATATTTTATTTTGGCAATGAATTCAAATTAAAAACAAAAGTGGACCTCAGTATTGTGTGGGCCAAACAAAATAGGTCTGCAGGCAGGCAGTTTGAGACCTCTGATGATTGCTTAGGAGGTTTTAAAAAAAGGTGAAATAGGGAAAAGCCTTATATTTTAAAAGGAGTCAAAGTACCACATTGCTAGGAATAGCAGGGATAGCAAAGAGCCATGTGGAAAACCCACAGCTTGTTTGTTCAGTGTCTGTCTCAGCAGACTGTAAACACCTTGAGAGTGGTGAGCCTCCCTGTTTTGCTCCTCAACACCTAGCACAGTGCCTAACATAACACAAGCATGAAATAAATACTTATTGAATGGACATTATTCTTAGAAATATATTCTTAAGGCTAATGAGAAATGCTACATTCTGTTTTTTTCCCTTTACTTTAGATGAGGGAGGAGTATATCGATGTGTGAATAATTGTGTTAATGACTTGTAATTTTATCACATTGGTGTTATTAATGCATATTCCTGTTATTTTCAGCAGAATCTTTTCATATACATTATTATAAAATCTTTAGAGTTTATAGCCTATGTGGAATCTATGAAATAATTGTGAAGATGATGTTTCTCTACTCAAAATGCTTCAATGACTTCTCATCACCTATTAAGGAAAGTCTAAATTCAAGAGGATCCAAATTTACTTATAAGATATGGCTCTTGAATGTTCCCAAGGTCTGTCTTTACTTTCTGTTTCCCAATCTTGGGATAAGTGAGTAGGTGGGTGGTTATTGGTTGCTGAGAGCTGTTTCAGAGAAAAATCTTTGGGGGACATCTGTTCATACCTGACGGTGGTCACAGAAAGACACTGAACTCCAATACTTAGAATATGTTACCAGTTGTTAAAAGAATCGTGTGAAATTGGGCAAAGGTCCATGATGGTACCCAGGTATCACTGGCACCCCAAACTTGAGTTGTGCCTTGTTTCCATTTATAGGTATAGGACCTAATAAATAGACATACATTATTTTAAATAGTTTGATAATATCCAGAGTTTGTGTAGACACTTTTTTTTCCTGGTTTTCTGATGAAATATTCTAGCATGTTCATGAATGCTGTAGGTGGTACTCACATAACTAGGAAGATGGCTGCAAACTTTATGGGATAAAAGTGTCTTTTACTTTCTAGATGTTCTTTTACCCATTTTATTCTGTGTCTTAAGGTAATATTTCTCAAAGTACAGATAAGGAACAGTTATATTAGAATAACCTAGAATGTTTGTTGAAAGCAGATTTCTGGAACATACCATAGGTATATATTGAATGTCAATTCTGGGGGGAGGGGCTTAGGAGTCTGCATTCTTATAAAGTTCCTCAGGAGATCTTGATGCATATGAAATTTAAGAACCACTCTTTGAGGGTATGTGGTCAACCTGGAAGTGGTACCAGTATCAGTGGGTGGTCCCCCTTTTTCTTTCCTCGTACTAGTGTGGAGCCAGCTCCACAAAAATGCCACTCTGGAAGTTTGTCTGGGGAATATCTGTGAAAACACCTGCATACCAGATGGGCACATCTGTACAGCTTGTACTGCTGATCCAACTTCAGTACATGTCATGCACCACTGGCTTAATTCAGAGTGAACTGAAAGGATGATGAGGATTTCACACTGAAGTCTTTAGCATAACAGAGTCATTTTCCTTTTTCTTTTTCGTTCTTTTCTTTTTTTTTCTCTATTCACTTTGATTTGTAGTCATTTTCTTTCTCCTGATCAAGTACTACAGGGATTGAATACCCAAAGGTAAACAACCCATCTAGTTGCAGGAGTTGCTTTGTGAACATAAGTCATTTTATGCAGAAAGCCTCAAGAAGGTGTTGCTATTTGCAGGGATAGGCGTGTTTTTTTGTTTTTAATGGATCTAGTTTTCTATTAAAGCCATCTAACAGTTTAAGATTTATTAATTACTAAGTGTAAAAGTATGCATAGCTATACTAAAATAGGATCTGAAGACAAAAGAATTGTAATTTTCTTGCTTTCTTTTTTTTGTTTTTTGGATGCAAGTGACGTAAGTATCAAATAGATGGTTAATCTCAATCACCACAGTGAGATACCAGGATAAGTTTGTATAGTTATCTTTTAGTCAGGCAAACATGGTATATAGCTAGCTTTCTTTACTTTTTCTTTCCTTTTTTTTTCCACCTGTACTTTATCCTCTTACATTCTTTTTCCCACTACTGGCTCTAAAGGGAAGGATACTGCATTACAAGATAGAAGGAAATAGTAACAGTCTATTGTTGGAATCATAGGTAGCTAGGAAACACTCAATTAGAAATGGTTTAGAAGTCATAGATCATGGGAAGGGGAACTGGGTTCAAGTTGTTCAGCTCTAAAGAAAAAGCTGTCTACTGTTGAAATATAAAGGGAAAATGAGAAGTTTTTACAAGATTTTTTTAAAAGACCATCATAAAACATTGTGACAACTGGAAAAAATGATTACAACAGCATATATATATATATATATAGAGAGAGAGAGAGTGTGTGTGTGCATGAGAGAGAAGTGAGGAGAGGGGTGTAGAGGGGACAGAGAAACTTTCCTTTGCTATTCAAGGCACTTTGCTAAGTGCTTTGACTGCATTAGCTCACTTAACTTCTTAAACACCCTACAAGGCAGGATTCCCCCCATTTAATTCCCCCCACTTTACAGATGAGTAAAACTGGGGCTTATAAAGGCTAATTAACTTCCCCAAGGTCCCAGAGTGGCACAGCCAGAATGTGAATTTAGGTATCCTGGCTCCAGACTTCACGTTCTGCCCCTCTCCCTGTAACTACTGGAAGAGGCAGTGTAGAAGAAACACTGGTTGTTAGGGATTAGTGAATTCTGGAAACATCCTAAAGAGAAAGTAATTTAACTGCTACTCTGGATTGGTCAAATCCAGATTGCAGAAAGAAAAGAAAAACCTTTGATTACACCATCATATAGCTAAATCTGCCACTTGCTGAAATGTGTTAAGTTGGGAAAAAGTAAGAGCAGTCAAATTATTTGCATTATATCTGCTGGTTTTGTCAAATGTGTTGCTTTAAAGTTCAACTGGTAGAAAAATATGCTGAATAAAGCTGAAAGATACCCACCAAGTCTGTCTCAGTAGAATATGGTTGCAGTTCCTCTCCCTTCCTCACCAGACAGGGATGGAAATGCTGAGCACTTGCCAGTCACTTGGAAAGACTCTTAAAGAGGCAGAGCCTGCCCTTGACCTCTTGTCCCCTCCACTGGACTGCCGTCAAGTCTTCATTGTTATGTGTAGAGTTCAGTCCCAGCAATATCACCCTCCAAGGTGAGTTCACATGGGTTTGCAAAGGAGCAGACATGTTAAGTGAGCAGTTAGCCATTCTACAGTGCTGTGTCGCCTAAGCTGAGTTTGCTGTCTTCACAACAGACACAGCTACAGAACCTCAGCAGGAATTTCCTGTTGGGAATCCTTTTATTCTCGCCACAGCAAAACCTCTGAGAAATCTGTCCTGTGCGTGCCAGATATGGTGGGATTAAGTAATACCAGGATGCCACTGTGTTGCTTGAAGTTCCCATCAAAGGACTTTTATTCTCCCCACACATATTGTGGAATATACATCTGCTCACATCTGACACATATGTGGTTTCATCTGGTTCCTCAGCTAGGGGTGGGGATGTCTTTGGGAAATATGCTTTAACAGTAAGCTGAAGTATGAGAAATAACACCTGTCTATTTTCTTTCCCAGGTCTTTATCTGTTGCCTCCTTTCTCAACATTTTCTTTACTATTTCCCCCCTTTTTTTCTATTCCTCTCATTACCTTTCCTTCTGATACCAGGATTTTGGAACTACAGAAAAAAAAAAACACCTATGGCATTGCACAGCAATATAGGACTTATTCTCTGCAGAAAACATTCTTTAATGATGAAAGTGAGGTTTCATTATTTCAGTCAGCAGAATTGTGACCAGTCTGTCTTTTGGGATTGTCCATGTCAGGAAATTTACAATACAATAAACAGAATCATTTCTATGTCACAGGATGTTACAAGGAATAAATGAAATTGTGCATGGGAAAGCATAAAGCTCAGCGTTTAGCACAGGGGAAGTGTTCAAGAAATATTAATTCTCACCCCCACTTTTACTTTCTTGTCTTAAAACTCCTGAAGGAATTATTTTGATTTGATCTTTTACAAAGATGACGAACAATAAGTTTTATTGTTTGAATGCCATTGAATTACTAGAGTTTATCATAGCTGACTTAAACATAAATGTATACAGCAGCTTACAAATATAAATTTATAATCGCAGTGTGGTGCTGTGTTAACAGGCATACTTCCTTATCAGAGCATTCGTGATCCTGAGGGCCAGGCTGTTCCAGGAATGGCAGACAGATTTTGCATGTGTTTGATCAGGAAACTCACCAGGAGTATTTTTCTCTGTCTTAGAAAAAGCCTCTCAGAACATGTAAAAGCCAAGCTTAAATTTCCATGTGAGAGTTGTAGGGGGAGCTGATAGGAAGTGGGGGAAGCAGGAAGGGAATAGAACCCTGGCTTTGCTTTGCATCACACTGCATTTGTTTTCAATGCTAGGGGCATAATTTCATGGCTCTCAACATACAAATGCCACTGGGATCTATAAGTCAATCACAGGCTCTTATTTTTTTCTTCTCTTACTATAGAAAATTCTGAAGTCCTAGGAGGAAATAATGATCCCCATGGTGGCCAAACCAGAATCCAAAGTTCTGGAATATCTGTCATTTTTGAATAAAAGTGAAAAGACCCAACTCAAATTAGCTCGTTGAATTACTGGTTTATGTAACCCAAAGCAGGGAAAGCGGTTGTGTATAATACATGAAAAAATGGTTGTGGCCATTTTTCTAGCAGACTTTTATCTACAAAAACATTTGGTAGTTAGATTTGGCCCACAGGCTGTGGTTAATGACCCTGGTCCCTGTCACATGGCAGGGAGAAGCAGCTACATTGGACCCTTGTCCTCAATCTAATATCAAAAAGGTACAAACAGGTATCATCAGGCTTCTGCATCTGCAATGACCCAGTGATTCTATCAATGATCTAGCACAGAAACAGTGAATGAGCTTTATCTCATCTGTCACTTTCAAACAGTTGGCACACAGTGCATATATAACTGTATCCAGAAGGATTGTGAGACTGTGTATGGGCTAAGCAGAAAGATACATGATCATAATCAATTAGCAATGTTTAAAACAGGCACCAACTGCATCACAGCACATACATTAGGTTTCTGTCACTTTTGCTTTAGAATACAGGACTGACATGGCCTGATCTTTCGTCACACATTGAAAACTTTCCACTCAAGGGCCTAAAAAAGTTTTCCATTGTTGATTATTTTCAAGATCCTAACAAAGATCCAAGGTCAGCTAAGGCGTCATCCAATGCAATTGCTCATTTTTTCAATTCTATTTTTTTTTAGTACAGAAATGATAAGATCACTTAAAATATTTTATCAGGTGGAATTAATCAGGATTTCAGAGGTAATCTATCTTATGAAACACTCAAATGAGATACATAACACTTTTTGGTATGGCATGCTGGAATGGGATGGCAATGTAGTATTGTATTTTTTTTAAGTCTTCCTTTATCTCTCTATTATTTTGCACATATTTTACCTATGGTATGCTCTTATTAACCTTTCTAACTATATTCCTCCTTTCCTGGAGGACGGCAGAGCCATTTTGGAAGCCACCAGGAGGAGAGACACACCAAGCTAGCTGTTTTAGAACCCTGCCTCCAGATGAGCAAGCACCACCTGCAGCTGTGCGATAAAACAAATGGTGCTTCTTGAAAACATAATCATTGGGAGGCAGGCAGCAGCTGTTAAAATTGAATCACCACTGCTCCATCCAAAGGGAAGGACATTTTAACCATCAGTCTCTCTAAATTGATATTTAATTACCCTCAAAGAGGAGAAAAATATGAAATTGCTCTTCAGAACTCCTTATGAGCCATACCTGAAGTTTCACAAAACAAGTTCATTGCAGTTGTCTTAATAGTAGCTGTGTGAGCAGAGGTTCAGGAGAAATAAATCTGTGGTTCTTTTTAGTCAAAGTTTGGCTTTAACCAGCTCTATAATCAGTTATATTGTTGACTCTTTTCTAAAAAACTAAATAAGGTTTTAAAAAAACCTACTAAAAATATTTTTGAACACTTTCTTATGATTTAGAATATAGTGTATTTTTCTTATCAGAGAATGAAGTGTGAGAAAATGGGGGAAAGGATGGAGATAGAAAGAAAGAGAAAAAAGAGAGAACAAAGTTGAGACAGGGTTTCTTATCTCAGGCTGGCTCCGAGGAGAACTACATAAATTACCTGAAATTGTAGGCAAAATTTGGCATTTGTGTGTATTAATATGTATACATGCACACATGTGAGGGATATTTTGTGGGTAAGTATTAGCCCTTCAATTGAAAAATCACTGTTCTATAGATTGAACCCTTATCCAGAGAGGGTAAAGACGGTTTCCTTATCGTGAGTAAGTTCTGGAACTGCCAAGTCCAGCCTGAGGCCTGGGAAAGAGCAGGGGTCAAGGGGAAATGGATATTAACTAAGGAACGTCACAGTTCACCCAGAGGCAGCCCTGATCCCACACACATGATTATCAGCCCTGGAACCAAGGAGGAACCATGGTGGCCAAGGCAGGCTTTTCTTGGGAATCGGTGACATATGACTGCGTCCCTCCTTCTCTGTGTTAAGAGAACAGCTGGTGTGCCCTGAAGAGGCCCCGACAGTGAATGATAGCCCAAGGACAAGGCACCAGCTGAAAGCTGGCTTGGCTGCAAATTACAGTATAATGGCAGAGTGACTTCTGCTGCGAAGTGATTTGCATCAGAGCCCACCAACAATGCATGTTCTGTAGGGCAGGCATTTGTAAGAGAAGGAAACCAGAAATATTGCATTTTTAAATAATTTAGAAGATTCACCAAAGGAAGAGAAGACAGGGAATTTATAATGTCTGTTTTTAGGTTATATTGTATGAATACCCATTTTGCACCCAAAGAAGTAGATTTATATCAAATTTGCCTCTATGTACTTGCTAGTTGCTCATCCTTCTGTACTCCCACATTACTCTACTATAGAACTATATAAATGCAGTGCTTGGATATATATTTCATTAAATTGTGTGTTTATAATGCTTGGTATGTTTTCCCAAAGATCAGATTACTGTGGCTATCACATCAACACTCCAGCATTCTAAAAATCTCGTATACGTGTGTGTGTGTACATATATATGTATATAATCAAATATTTAATTGTTTTAGGAAATGTGCAAATGACTGAAACTTGTAGAAGAACTCTCATCATGTGAAACATCAGAGAAGAGGTTCAATAAGAGCTAAGTGAAATTCTGTGACAATGGAGACAGAAAATGCTGAAGGAAGAAAACAGCTGGAAAGGGGAAGAGAGATACATGGCAGGATTTATGAAACAGTATTAATAAACAATGGAGGAGCATAACACAGGGACATATGTTAGAGCTGTCAGCAAGATAATACATTATATTGGCTGTAAGATAAACATGTCAAGTAAACAGTATTATTTTATTAATGTAATTATGAATGTCTGCTAGGACGGCATATAGATACAAGGTAATTTTTGATGGTTGATAGGCTCAGTTTGTATTTTCCATCTGATGGTGAATTTCATGGGGGCAGAGACTGTATCTTATTCTTTTTATACTTTCTAGTGATTAGTTCAACACTTATGACACAGAAAGCAGTGAATAAATATTTGTTTTTTTTTAAAGGACATCTGATGTTTAAAAGTCTTTGTAATCAGCTTGATCTTATACATGCTTTTTAATTTTCCTCTTCTCCCTATGCATGCCTCCCGCCCTATGCATCACTGCCTCAAGAAGGCATGCCAGCATCCATTCTCTTCTCTTGGCCTTCCCCAGGCTGTTCTATATCCATTTATGCTTCAGCACAGCTTATGTCCCATAAAGTCTATGAGGTCTCATTGCCTGCTCTTTCTATATTCATTTCCTTCTCTTTGAAGGTAGAACGCTCATGTTCACTTTTCATTGACTGTTTCACCTGTTCAAGACTCATTTCCTTGCCGAGACTACAAGCTTTTTGTCAGAAGGAACCATACTTCAGTGAAGGTAAATTTCTATGCTTCCCATGTTGCAGAGGACACACTGGACCCTTCATAGACAGATACACGCCAGTAAAGTAGAGAGTGGGAAGGCGGAGGAATCTAGTGCCAAGGCAGAAGTGATGCTTAAAGGTTCTGGAAGCATGGCAGGTAGGTGGGGATCCAGACTCAAAGGTTTTCTCAGAGTGTGGAGGTGGTTTCTTCATTTTCAAGGAGCTCACATCTATGGAGATTTGATAAAGCAGGAGGCTGGGCCTCCAAATCCTTAGTGGGGATCATATACTTTGCTGAGTGTGAGCTGGTCTTGAAATGAGTTAAGGCTGTGGGACCCAAGGCCACAATTACAGAGCACGCTTGTAGTATGCAGCAAATAATTACTCCACGCATGTGTCAATTATGTAAGATTTAGAACAAAGAAAATAGAAGTATGCATGTGCTAGAGATATTCTGTAAGCCTAATGAACAAAGAAACTCAGTCTGCGCATGTGCTGACAGAAAACAGATAAAAGCAGGACAGGTGCATCATAGGTGCTCATTTCCCGGTGGCAATAAAGTGTTGTTAACCCCATGGTGTCTCCGGCTGAATTCTGTCTGGCGGTATGGCAACTCCTCGTGCATTTTTTCGTTTGGGCCGCTTACCTCCTAGAACCCCACGTCAGCCTCCCTTGGCTGACACTGAGCTTTCCATTCACTCCCTGTCTTAGCAGCTGTAGTCTCAGACTCGACATGTTAAAATTAGATGGGTTTCTCTGATGTGGTTACAACTTTCAGATTTTCTTTCCTTCTAGGGGATAAGTTAGTAGCAGGTAAGTAAACAGTGACATAGACATTTCGTCAGTTTTCTATCACTGGAGAGTTCCTTTATTACCTCTCTCAGATTCTAGGTAGAGAACATAAAATAATAATAAAGTTGTTCCTATATTTTCATCTGACATTTACTAATTTGACAGCATTTTCAGTACATGGAATACAAACAAAAAATCTGATCTAGATATTGTGCTAACTTTTGAAGTTTTTTCCCCATGGTTTTTGAAAAGAATTGAGTTCTATCAGTCAACAGATAGTGTTTAGTAAAAAGAAAGAAAAAATATATTCCTTTGTCAATTAGAAAACTAAAAACCTGCTATATAAATTCGAATCCTTCTGTCCTTGTGAACTCTACTTTGGGAATAAGGCATACTTTACCCTCCTGAAATTGTAGAATATTTTTGTATAGCTAAGCCATGATGTAGCATTCTTTTACCTTGTTTTCCATAAAAACATCTAATGACCTATTGGAAGAATAAAGAAACGCAAGATTCAAGATCTATCCCAATCTGATAGGATTGTTCTACGTGGTAGTGGCTTACTAATAGCTTTATTATTAAACCATGTAAGTGAAAGAAAGCACTACAGCTGAGAGAGAACTCAGCCGGATCCGCTTTCAGCATGTAACCAAACCAGAGTGTAGAAACAAGTAATTAAAAGGACACAAAGCCCGTAATCAATTGCATACCGGTTATCTTTGATTGCTCTTGCAAAGGACAAATTACACACAAGCCTCTTGAAAGCCTGAAGAAAAAGAGGTTCTATTATCTTCTTTTTGAAATCATTTCTCCACAAAGACAAGGGCGTCCCTATTCCAGATCTCTTGGTTTAATTAAAAGGACACAAACATCAGATGATGTTGCAGCATATCAAATGTTTCCCTGTCAGTGCAGTGGAGTGAAAGAAGAGCAGGGGGAGGGGGGAGAAGGGGGAAGGAAGGCAGGGGGGTGGGGGTGGGTTGGAAGAATTTCTTTTTCATAAAGACTGGCCTTTTTCACTCTGACCATCTGTTTTCTCATGGTGAAAAGCCCCATTGCTGGTATCCTGGCATAGCTTTGCATGTCTTTGTGCTTGAGGGACATTCAATCTTGCATCTGATACACACTGATCTGTGACACTTCCTAACAAATGAGGCTTTGTTCAAACAAAGAGACTCCCTGATAGGAACTGTAAACTTGGAGCTTGATACCCTGTAGGAAAGGCAGGCTATGGCTGAGCTGGCACAGGAAATTCTCTCTGCAATGCAACAGAGCTGAAGGAGGTCACACCCCCGTGCACACATACACTCTTTCAGATCTTCCCAGACCTCTTCTCATCTCTGTCTCCCCTTCGGATATGGCAGCTCTAGAGCACAGCTGCGTTCAGACCTGGCAAAAATGGGACCATGTCCATTACAGGCTGAAGCTCACTCTCAATAACTATGGCATTTATTGGTATAGTTTCTTCACTTCACACAGCACTTTCACAATCATTAATCCATTTGATACAATAACCTCGTAGGCCCACTCCAAACGTGATCATATTCAAGATAACTCTTTTATAAATACTAATAATGCCAATCGCGGCTTGTCTCTTTTCTTCTGTATCCTCTCTCTGTCTCTTTTCTTCTCTCCCTTCTTTTTCCCCCAACAGATGAGCTTGAATTTGAGGTTCCCAACTTCAAAACTATCCATCTTTTCACCATACTATGTTTCTGTGGTCCTTACTACTGAGGCTTAAGCTGTGGAGTAGAAAATGTATAATGAGCTGCTGAATATGGATGGCAATTCAGCGAAAGTAGCAGAGAAGGCCCCAGCTCAGGACAACACTGCTGGCTCTTTCTAGTTATGATTTGGAATCCTGTTAGAATGCAATTAAGCATCTTTAGAAAGAATGCCACTTTTTCTTTTTTTCCCTTAATATGCTGTGTCCTCTCCTTGGCAACCTCCTATACTCTCACTTAAGACCTAGCTGCGGGGTGGGGGTGGGGAGCTTCTGCTGCAGGCACCCCTCCTTCCTCTGGTCAGTTAATTGGTACTTCCTTCACGTTCTCAGCCCACTTTACTTCCCGCTCAGCGCCAGTATGTAGCACATTGTAGTCTGAACTATTTGTTTGTGTCCATCTCCCCTACTAAGCTGTGAACCACAGGGTTGGAATGTGTATTTATTATTCACCCTTGCATATTGCCAGTATTTAATGAAGTGCCTGACCCTTAATAGGCTGCCAGTAACAGTATGTTGAACAAATAAATTTTGTTGGTTAAACACTGATACAGTTGGGAGGAAAGAAACAGGAAAATAAGGCAAAACAAGGAAAACTGACTTCACTGCACACATCTATAAATTTTCTTTGGCCTGGACCCATCATTTGGGCTTCTGTGTCTCACCACCTCAACAATGTGAAGCAGTGTGTGATTCAGGAATTATGTCAGACCCAGTTTCTTGGTCTTCTGGATCGGTACTTTTTTTTTTTTAAACATTTTTTTTATTGAGTAATAGTCATTTTACAATGTTGTGTCAAATTCCAGTGTAGAGCACAATTTTTCAGTTATACATGAACATACATATATTCATTGTCACATTTGTTTTTTCGTTGTGCGCTACCACAAGATCTTGTATATATTTCCCTGTGCTATATAGTATAATCTTGTTTATCTATTGCACATTTTAAAATCCCAGTCTGGGTCAGTACTTTTTTTAAAAAGATGCTTGAATTGCAGAGAACTTAAGTAACCTTTTAAAAATTCTGTCTCTGATTACTTAGTGACCTATTACCAAATATAAAGATTTGGGGGCCAATAAAGCCCTGGAGTTACAGGAAAGAAAACTTGTCCGGTGGAGCACTTTAACATGAAAATTTCTTGGGAGGGCAATGAACTACAAAAAGAAGAAAAGTGGTTACAATCTCACTTTTTAACTGGATTGTTCAATCACAAGTTTTTTAGTGCTTCTGAACCTTGATTTCTCTAGTTATGAAATGAGAATATTAACACTAGCATGCCTCAATGGGATTTTATGAGGATTAACTAAACGTGATTGTAAAACATGTTGGGAACATAAAGTACTGGATAAGATAATTAATATTCATAATTTTGAGACTGGATAGGATTTCAAAAGGTCATGGTGTGAGGTGAGTTGAAACTGCATTACATTTTTACAGGGAGCAGCTCCAACTTGTTTTGTCCTTTTCCTAATCTCTTTCTCTTCCTTATATGCTGGCAGAAATATAACAGAAAATTAATTAATTAAAGTTTGGTAGCATATTGGAATTTATTTGAATTTTTAAGAGTAACAGTGGTCAGTAGTCAAAGGGTAGAGTAACCATACCTACCCTGACACTGTAGCCAATTTGAATGTTACCATGTAAAACAGGGGAAAGGCCCACAAAGATATCAAGACAAACCTCTTGGCTGTTACTGTCCACTCACTCATTCAGTTAAAGGTGCCAGTATGACTCTAAGTGATTATCAAAATATGCAGCGTTGGTTGCTGTTGCTATTTTAAGCATGGTAGCAAAAAACCCAACTCTGTTGGCAGAGCAGTGAGCACAACCAGTGGATCTAGAATTTGGGGTTCAACCTATTGAAATGCCAGCAATAACTTCATACCATGGAATCATACTGTGGGATCACAAAGTTAATCACCCCAGGGGAGTAGACATAAATTTAATATGAACCCACTCAGTTTGATTCTGTTTAAAGTAATAGCTGACATGAATGCAGTACTGCCTTGTCCTTTGCATTTTTTATTCTGTATTATTGCATATGATGCTCCTAAAATCCCTATTAAGGAGATAGGAGAGGTCTTAGTAACTAACGTACAGACAGGAGAATGAGGCACTGTCCCATGAGTGACCCACCCTGGGCCACCTTTTGCCTTGGCATCAGTGGAACCCTATGTTCTGATTAAGCTTGTCGAATTTTCCAAACTTGTTTATCACATGTGAAAAGGGATTTTTTGTTTTTTAAATGAACGGAGCTGGAGAAACAATTCTCCAAGTATTTTCGAAGAGACATTGATTTTTCTTTCAAACTATTTTTCAGATTCCTTTCCTCTTTCCCATTCTCACTGTCAGCCCTGAAGGTCAAATCCTCACTACTTAACATACTAGAGCAGTGGTCCTACTGACATCTGAGTTGGACTCAGAGATTCTGATGTAATTAGTCTGGGATGTGTCCTGGGCATTGAGATAACAAAAGTGTCTCTGGTGATTCTAAGCTGTGGCCAGGGAGAGGAACCAATGATCACTGA